GTTGAGACCGAGGAGCCGCCGGGAACCGGGCCGAGCCGCGCCACCGTCGTTGCCGTTGCTACCAAAACAGTCTGAGGTGGAGGGAGGCAAGCGCTGCCCAGAGGGAGGGGGGCCGGGACCGGGCGGGGGAGGGGCGGCGGAGGGATACGGGCCCGGGGCCGCGTCGCCGCCCCGCCTGCCCCGGCGCGAATGCGAGATCCGCCCCGCTGCTTCGCGGCGGGGCTCGAGAATCGTTGCGTGGTCCCAACTTGTTGCGGCCACCGACTGCATCCGGGCCGGCTACACCAAGAAGCTGGGTGGCCGTGCTGGGTGGGGGCGGAGGTGCGGATTGGGGGACTCTTTACCGGAAGTCGGAAGCGTTGGGCGGGAACATGCCGTGAGGCGGCTCGGGGCCGGGAGGGACACGTGAGGAGCGGGTGCCGAGCTGGGCCGCGTTCACGGGGGTCGGGTGAGGGCCCGGTGGCTCGCCTGCCTGGGTCCGCCCTCTTCGAGGCCGGTCTGCCCTTCGGCAAGGGCGTGTCCATCTTCTACTGCTGGGTCGGCTTAGAGTGAAGTACGAGAGGAAAGTGGGGCCCCTTCCTCCCTAATACTCCTCCAACGTACTCAGACTAGGTGGAGGAGCCCTGTTGGCCCCCACCTGATGCAACCTAGAAAATGACCTGCGAGCCCCTGCCAGGTGGAGACTATTATCTCACTATGTAAAAAGCCCCTAGAATAGAGTCTGGCTCAATGAACACAAGCATCCCATGAATCTGATGCCTGTGTAGCCCCAGCGCTGAGCACACAGTATGCCCTCAAGTGTCACCGGATGTCTCCAAGACTGGTCATGCTAGCTTTCCTTGCCAAGACTTACTAAAGGAGTTGGAGTAACCTCTTGAGGTCACCTACATCTGGTTACCTTTTCCCCACTTTGTCCACCCCAGCAACCTAGTAGCCAGAAAACTCTTTGAGTATCTGACCTTCATTTGAACCCATTTTTTCCTCTACTTGAAGTTCTTTTTCTCCATTCATGAGACTGAAAAGGAAACGTATGTGATTTGGTAGCTCTGTGGATAATAGGGTCCGCTCAGTGGAGACAGAACAGACCTCACAAGAATGTGCGAACTTTAGACCTTGGCCCCTTTAGAAGTTTTACTTTAACTTAAGGGGCGCCAGCCTGCGCAGTAGTCCGGTTTTTTCTTCTTTTTACATGTGTTGCGAATAAACTAGAAGCAATTGGATAATTACTTTTTTTTTTTTTAATGAAGAATTTAGTTTTTTAAAAAGTGAGATTATTTCAGGAAATAGTGGGGGTAGGGGGACACCAAATTTCCCTTCAGTCTCATGGAGTTGTCCAGATAAAAGTAAAGACCTGGACAATGATTAAACCGCCTATCTCCAGTCACCAGAATGAAATTAATCTCCTAGATAGGCCAGGCAAAAATGTCCATTGTATTTTACAAACATTTGAAAAGTAGGAAATCAGCTTTCACAGGTACACCCTCCCTCAGCTTAAGTAATCCTTTAAACCAGCAGTTATAAATCCTTTAAAAATTAACCCAAAGGAAATTGGGAATAAAATATCTGACTAAAAAAGAAAGAACCATCATAGACATACAATCAACTTTCTCTGGTTTAATGATTTGACAGCCGTTATCTGGGAGCAAGGTCTCAAAATTCAATCTTAGGACCAAACTCCAAGCAGAGGGAAATAGAAAGAGAACTAGAATAAAGGCTGAAGCTGACATAGTTCAACTTGATTTCATGTAGGCCAAGGAAGTTCAAGTTCTCATCTACTATCATTGCAGTTTTTGTAATGGCCTTGATATAATGGTGCTGGGGACTTCAAAAAGTTCATGAGAAAATGAAATTAAAAGATAATGAAACTTTTTCTCTCTTTTTTTAAATACTGAAATTTTTCAATGAACTTTTGAAGCTCACTTGTGTAACTTGCAGAACATAAAATGCACCCATTTCAAAGTGGACAATTTGTTGACTTTTAATAAATTTAGAGTTGTGCAACCATCACCATTGTTTTCAGAGCATTTCCATCACCCAAAAAGATACCTAATCCTGCTTCCAGGTATGCCTCATTTCACTCCCCAGGCCTGGGTAACCACTATTCCACTTTGTGGATTTGCTTATTGTAGACTCAAAATGAAAAGAATCAGCTGCAAACATCCATTAATAATTAGAACATGGAATGTATGATAGGAAAATTGGAAGTCCAACTTTTAAATATTTAACCAAATATTAAATGGAATGCATCAAGATTGATACCCTATACAATAGTGAGTTGAAATGGGCTGTATTGGCCATCTTTAACCAGATAATCATATATATGGTCTACTTTGTAGAGAATGATACATTAGCGAAAAATGGTATTGCATTCATCATCAAAAAGAACATTTCAGCATCTATTCTGGAGTACAATGCTGTCAGTGATAGGATAATATCTATATGCGTACAAGGAAAACCAGTTAATGCTACTATTTAAATTTATGCACCAACCACTAATGCCAAAGATGAACACTTCTACCAGCTTTTGAAGTCTGAAATTGATCAAACATGCATTCAGGATGTACTCATAATTATTAGTGATTAGAATGTGAAAACTGGAAACAAAGAAGCATTAGTAGTTGAGAAAATAATGGCATTGGTGATACAAATGACTCAGAGATCACATGTTAGAATTTTGCAAGACCATCCCGTTTTCATTGCAGATACCTTTTCAGCAATGTAAATGGGACCAGACAAACATAAATGAATCTTGCCAGATGGAATACACAGGAATCAGATCAACTACATTTTTTGAAAGAGTCGATAGAGAAGTTCAATACCATCAGTTTAAATAAGGCCAGGGCCCAATTGTGGAAGAGACCGTTAATTGCTCATGTGCAAGTTCAAGATGAAGAAAATTAAAACAAGCCTACAATAGCCAATGTATGGCTTTGAATGTATCCCACTTGAATTTAGAGACCCTTCTCAAGAACACATTTGAAACAGTGAACACTTATGAAGAAAGACCAGATGAGTTGTAAGATGATACCAAGAACATTATACATGAAGCAAAAGTCATTAAAAAGAACGATTAAGATATAAAGTGAGGGGAGATGCACAAGAACGCCCAAACTTACAGATAGTACCCATTTGACCCAGCTTCGATGGCTTGATGATCACAACTCAGCAGGTGGATATGTGCCATGGAGTCGGTTCCAACTCATAGCGACCCTGTACGGGGTTTCGAGGCTGTAAATCTTTACAGGACCAGAAAGCCTCATCTTTCTGCCATGGAACAGCTGGTAGTTTCGAACTGCTGACCTTGCGGTTCGCAGCCCGATTTGTAACTACTATGCAACCAGAGCTCCTTACAGCAACTCAACTAGAAGAAGGTAAAAAAATTATAAAGGAAACAAGTTTAAAGTACTACAATTTGATGACCTACACTTATGGATATAATAGCTCAAAATACCAACTGAGAGGGAAGGGGTCTGCATCCTATTCCCTCTGTATACAGGGTAGACAGGGTCGGGCAACTTAGACATTGGCTACCTAAAATGGGGTGGTTATAAAGGCATGAAGTGACTGGCTTACAGGTTTTCAAGAGGGAGTTTAATTTCAGGGTGTGCAGGGAAAGGTAGAATCCCCACTGAATAGTTTTCATCTTGTCTAGATGGGTCTGGTGAAAGGAGATGGGGATGATTCTTATGATTCAGTAATGAGTAATTGTTATCATGACTAACAGTGATTGTCACAACTGTAAAGGTTGACGGTTTATAACATAAAGGGGGGAGTAGTTAATCTGTATATCTATGAACAGAAGACCCTAGGACCATCAAGGGAGAAGAGCACAACTGGAATACGGGACCCTATCCAGAGAAGCAGTGACACCAGAGATGGAGGCAGAGATGATGACATGGAAAAATAGAAAGGTTGAAGACTCTAGACTCATGGAAAGAGAAAGGCTGTGTGCTAGTGGCCAGAAGGCAAACTTGCAAAATGTGCCCTTTGGTTGTTTAAATGATTACATATTCCTGAATATTTTTGTGTACATTTAAAAACAAGCAAAAAACAGAGGGAATAGAAGCAAACACTGTTGAATGATGATGCATGAAGGGGATTGTAATCATTGCAATGAAATGAAATACGATGGGATGAGTGTAGAACCGATGTTCTTCCCCATAAACTATCACTCAATTCACAATAAAAACTTAAAAAAAAAAAAAAAGAACTATTGAACTTCCTCTTGCTCCTAGCCATTCCTTGTACTCAACTAGTCCTACTATGGCTGCTCTCACCCAGAATCTGCAGTTCCAGAAGCTGCAGCAAGGGTACCACAGACACGGTTCCAAGCTCAGCTTGTGCCACATTTTCAACTCTGACGAGCATTTCAACGGGCTCAGCTTGACCCTTAGCACCAACGTTGGACAGATTCTGCTGGATTAATCCAAGATCCTTGTGACAGAGGAAGTGATGCAGATGCTGGTGCACCTGGACAAGTCCAGGGACGTAGAGGCCGATTGGAATCGCAAGTTCAATGGTAAGAAGTCAATTTCACTGAGGACCGAGCAGTCCTGCATGTGGTCCTGTGGAACTAGTCAAATACACCCATCCTGGTGGACGGCAAGGGTACTAGACAAGATGAAGTCTTTCCACCAGTGTGTCCATGGTAGGAACTGAGAGGGCTAAACAGGCAAGCCTATTATGGATGTCATCTTATCATGGGCCAGTTTAATTAGAAGTAGATTACCAAGTGCTTCCTCCTAAGTTTAGTGTAGAAGCTCTCCTGAAACCCACCCCATCATGAGTGACCCTGCTAGCACTTGACATTGTGGCTCAGACCTGGGACCCCTTATGGTGATTGAAGGCCTTATATTGTACTCTTCAGGTGGTCCCCACATCTGGTTTGTCTCCAACATTGATGGAAACCACATTATGAAAACCCTTGCCTCCCTGTTCATCATTGCCTCCTAGACCTTTACCACCCAGGAGATCATCACAAATGCAGAAACAGCAAATAAAAGGTTGGTTCCTCATGTCAGCAAAGGATCCTTCTGCGGTTGTGAAGCAATTTGTTGCCCTGTCTACCAACATGACCAAACTGAAGGAGTTTGGAATTGGCCCTCAAAACATGTTTGAGTTCTGGGGTTGGGTGGGAGGATGATACTTGCTGTGGTCAACTATCAGACCACATTGTCCTGCATATGAGTTTTGACAATTTTGAGCAGCTGCTCTTAAGGGCTCCCTGGATGGACCAGCCCCTGGAAAAAAAAAAAAAGCTCCAGTCTTGTTGGCTCTTCTGGGTATCTAGTATAGCAACAGCTTTGGGTGTGAAACCCAGGCCCTGATGCCCTATGCCTACCACTATCTGCACTGCTTTGTTGCCTACTTCCAACATGGTGACATGGAATCCAATAGGAAGTACAGCATTAAGTCCGGCACTCATGTGAAATGCCA